ACAATCTAAGGTCCCTAACCCTCAAGGGGCGTACAATCTAAGGTCCCTAAACCTCAAGGGGCGTACAATCTAAGGGCCCTAACCCTCAAGGGGCGTACAATCTAAGGTCCCTAAACCCTCAAGGGGCGTACAATCTAAGGTCCCTAACCACAAAGGGCGTACAATCTAAGGTCCCTAACTCTCAAGGGGTGTACAATCTAAGGTCCCTAACCCTCAAGGGGCGTACAATCTAAGGTCCCTAACCCTCAAGGGGCGTACAATCTAAGGTCCCTAACCCTCAAGGGGGTGTACAATCTAAGGTCCCTAACCCTCAAGGGGCGTACAATCTAAGGGCCCTAACCCTCAAGGGGCGTACAATCTAAGGTCCCTAACCCTCAAGGGGTGTACAATCTAAGGTCCCTAACTCACATTCATACATACACATACTAGGGACAATTTAGACAGGAGCCAATTAACCTACCAGCATGTCTTTAGAGTGTGGGAGGAAACTGGAGTACCTGGAGGAAACCCACACAGGCACAGGGAGAACATGCAAACTCCAGGCAGGTGGTGCCATGGTTAGGATTTGAACCAACAACCTTAGCACTGCCAGGCGGAAGTGCTAACCATCTAGCCACTGTGCTGCCCAAACCATTATAGCCTCCATTTATAGCCACGTACAGTAAAAAAACGCTTTGTTCATTTAGAACTTGTTATACATGGTGCTATGGACTCCCTCCACTGGCTGGTCATGTGACCAATGCCATGGCCGGAGGATCCTCATGTCAAACGGGATTATGGGCCTGAGTCCATATTGTAGTCAAAGTCAGATAATAAAGCATGAGCAAATGAATGCTGAAACTCCTGCGCTGGACGATGAGCTCCACAATGTCAGTAACCCCACATGGAGCACTTTTTGGGAATGCAAGCCTTGCTGCCCTCAACGGACCAGGGAAGTCCAAAGGAGCTGTGTGCAAAGAAACAAACAGAGGGCGCACGGGCCTAGTGCATCACCTTCACAGAGGGCGCACGGGCCTAGTGCATCACCTTCACAGAGGGCGCACGGGCCTAGTGCATCACCTTCACAGAGGGCGCACGGGCCTAGTGCATCACCTTCACAGAGGGCGCACGGGCCTAGTGCATCACCTTCACAGAGGGCGCACGGGCCTAGTGCATCACCTTCACAGAGGGCGCACGGGCCTAGTGCATCACCTTCTAAAAATGAGATTTATTGAATAAAAAGTAGTATGCTCATAAAAGAATAAAATCAAATGCACATCACAAAAAAGCCAACACGTTCCAATCTCCCTAGATGGTGGCTGTTCCAAATGTCTGATGCATTTCAAGGCAGAACCTCTTCCTCAGAGCCAACATGTCTTCTTTGTGATGTGCCTTTGATTTTATACTTTTGTGAGTATACTACTTTTTATTCAATAAATCTCATTTTTAGACGGTAATGCACTACGCTGTAGTCAAAGTCAAGCTGGGGAAACAGTGCAGAAGTTAGAAAGTTGGTTACACAACACAAAGACCATAACGCCTAATCTCAGGTTATAATACTCAAACAGAACACACCCAGCTCCCGCACACCTCCTCACTGGCATTCATCCCAGGAGATTACCTTGGAATGCAACATTAGAAAGGAATACAGGAAAATAGATGATAATGCAGTACGCTGAAGGAGAGAGCAGAGTGAGCCAACAGATGAGCTCACTAAGTCCTGAATTCTGCCATTCATCAGTCCTGCCTATTCCCTCGACTGTGTGTCCTTCCACTCAGCCAGCATACTGGTACATCCAATCATAACTGCGTTTATGAATTAATTCAGTCTTCACTTCTTTTATGCCATGCTTACTAATGGCAGGTGTTTGCGTTGCATTTTTGAGGCATTTGCGAGGCGTTTACGGAGCATTAATACCATTAAGTTCATTATGTAGTAGGTGTTATGATGCAGGTTAGGGTTAGGAGCAGGGGCGGACTGACCATTTGGAAACTCGGGCACTGCCGAGGGCCCGGGGTCAGTAGGGGGCCCCATGAGATGCCCCTTTACCTTTTTCATAGGCTTTTTTGAGTTTGGGCAAGAACACAGGGGCCCCATGATCCCCTATTGCCCAGGGGCCCCATGAGTTGTCAGTCTGCCCCTGGTTAGGAGTTAGGGTCAGAGTTAGGTTTAGGGTTAGGGTCAGAGGTTAGGGTTAGGGTCGGGGTTAGGGTCAGGGTTAGGGTCAGGGTTAGGGACAGGGGTTAGGGTTAGGGTCAGGGGTTAGGGTCGGGGTCAGGGTTAGGGTCAGGGGTTAGGGTTAGGGTTAGGGTCAGGGTTAGGGTCAGGGGTTAGGGTTAGGGTCAGGGTTAGGGTTAAGTCTCAAAAACGCGCATAGGGCATTTGGGGAGCATTTTTAACGCTTGTAAAATGCCTGTCTAACGTTATAGGGGAGTTTGGGAAGAAGTCAAGTGTGAACGAGCCCTTAGGCTGTTATTACATTAGGGTGATTAAACAGAATCTGTGCCACCTTATACACTAAAAGTATTGGCCCCGCCCTACAAATCATGTGATTCAGGTGTTCCAATCCCCTCCATGGACACAGGTGTATACAATCAAGCCCCTAGGCATGCAGACGCGTCTACAAACATTGGTGAAAGAATGGGTCGCTCTCAGGAGCTCAGTGACTCCAAGCGTGGTCCCGTGATAGGTTGCCAACCGTGCAATAAGTCCATCCGTGACATTTCCTGGCTACTAAATATTCCACGCTCAACTGTTAGTGGGATTATAACAAAGTGGAAGCAACTGGGAACAACAGCCACTCAGCCACCAAGTGGTAGGCCACGTCACATGACAGGGCAGGGTCAGCGCATGCTGAAGCGGACAGTGCGCAGAAGTCACCAACTGTCTGCAGAGTTAATAGCTAAAGAGCTCCAAACTTGGTGTGGCCTTCAGATGAGCACAACAACAGTGTGTAGAGAGCTTCATGGAATGGGTTTCCATGGCCGAGCAGCTGCATCCAAGCCTTCCATCACCAAGTGCAATGCAAAGCGTCGGATGCAGTGGTGTAAAGCACGCCGCCACTGGACTCTAGAGCAGTGGAGACGTGTTCTCTGATGTGACCAATCATGCTTCTCTGTCTGGCAATCCGATGGACATGTCTGGGTTTGGCGGTTGCCAGGAGAACAGTACTTGCCTGACTGCATTATACCAAGTGGATGGGGGATTATGGTGTGGGGTTGTTTTTCAGGGGTTGGGCTTGGCCCCCTAGTTCCAGTGAAGAGAACCCTTAAGGTGTCAGCATACCAAGACATTTTGAACAATTTCATGCTCCCGACTTTGTGGGAAGAGTTTGGGGACGGCCCCTTCCTGTTCCAACATGACTGCGACCAGTGCACAAAGCAAGGTCCATAAAGACATGGAGGAGCCAGTCTGGGGTGGAGGAACTTGACTGGCTGCACAGAGTGCTGACCTCAACCCCATAGAAAACATTTGGGACAAATTAGAATGGAGACTGCGAGCCGGGCCTCCTCCCCCGACATCAGTGCCTGACCTGACAAATGTGCTTCTGGAAGAATGGTCCAACCTTCCCATAGACACCCTCCTAAACCTTGTGGACGGCCTTCCCAGAAGAGTTGAAGCTGTTATAGCTGCAAAGGGCGGGGCCAACTCAATATTGAACCCTACGGACTAAGACTGGGAGGCCATTAAAGGTCATGTGCGTGGAAAGGCAGGCGTCCCAATACTTTTGGCAATATAGTGTATCAGATGGCCCTATTAGAGTCCCCCTTTATGTCAGGAGTCCTCATCAGAGTCCCATTTTACTCCCCCTAATCAGTGCTTCCATCAGAGTGCTCCCTTACCTCAACTGTCTGCATCAGAGAGGAACTCTTAGACCTGGAGGTGCACAACTAAAATCTGGGGGGCAAAGCCCACCCCCAGCACCCCCGCAGATCCGGCCCTGACTGACATCTATGTTTGTCATTGTCAGCTCCCTATTCATCCTGCTCACTCTGGAGCTGGGAGACAGTATGTGAACCTAGCTAGTCTGCCAGACTTCAGGTGTTTTTGTTGTCCCTACTTAAAGATCTATCTGAGTCCATCTAAGCCTTGGTAAAGTTCACAAACCCCCAAAAAAGCACAGTTAAAGTGGTTGTAAACCCTTACATATACCCAGTGAAGTGACTGACCTCAGGTGATACACAGAGATGAAACAAAATATTCCTACATAAGTTGTACCTGTCTCTCTGCAGTCTTAACGTCCCCACATCTGTTCAAACTGCTGAATTTATAGCTTGTCTGATAGTTCAGAAAAAAGGGGGTGGAGAGCTGAAATTACACACTGCAGAGCTCAGTGAGGAGAGCTCTGAGAGCTGATTGGAGGGAAGGGACACGCCTCCTCCACACAGCACACAGGAACAGAGCTGTGGCTGTCAGTCTGCTAGAGCTCCTTCCTCTGTCACCATTTTTCTCTTGGTGTCAGGGAAACATCTCAGAAGTGGTTTGTGCAGACAGCAGAGGAATGAAGCATCAGACAGAAATGACACATAGTGCTCTGGATTCGATAAGCACACCCTATAGAGCAGTGGTCTCCAAACTGCAGCCTGGGGGCTGGATGTGGCCCTTTGCTTGCCTTTATCTGGCCCTTGGGGTACTATGTCACCAATGGACACCAATGATGGATCACCATACTCCCTATTCACTCCATCAAGGAAGGATTTTTCTTCTCATTGAAAAACAATGGGGCAATATCCCTCCCATTAAGACCAATGATGGGGCACTAACACCAGGGCATTTTCTACTCCCACAAGTCACAGTCTGGCCCCCTTAAAGCCCGAGGGATCGTAAACTGGCCCTTTGCTTAGAGTGTTTGGAGACCCCTGCTATAGAGGGATATAGGTAAAACCTAGTGCAATGCATTAAAATGAATGTCAATGTGTACGCCTTTTCTGTGCATTTCTATACACACAGCCCTTCAATTGTCCTGTTGCTCCTCAGACTGTACCCCATCTTGGTAACCCATTCGAGTCCCTTCTTGCAGGAGCTCAGGGTGGTTCGGTGGTCAAGGCTCTTCTTCAGGACAGCTCATTTGTGGTCAGGGCGGTGACTCGTGATGTCACCAAACCAGCAGCTCAGAAGCTGAAGGAAGCCGGTGCTGAGGTCGTAGCTGCGGATCTGGATGATGAGACAAGTGTGAAGGCCGCCCTCAAGAGAACAGATGGAGCTTTCGTGGTTACCAACTTTTGGGAACATATGGATAAGGATAAGGAGGTCAAACAGGTAACAAATAATGCCAATGACTTCACTTTGCTGTAGACTGGCTTTAATGTAAAGTGTTACTGAACCCACAACAGTACAATCAGTCTGTATATGCAGTAAAGCATGCTTGTTATACTCACTGTGGAACCTAAGGGGTTAATCCTCTGCATTGTGTAAAAAGGCTGTTTGATCTTGTCTTCTCTGATCCACCCCTTCTTCTACTGTCCCCAATCCATCTGCTGATAGAACAGAGTCTTGGGACAAGCTGCACATGCGTAGTTTGGTGTGTATTGGCACAGGCCAATCAGAAGTGTCCAGGCAGAGGGTCAGGGGTCATGCAGCCTCATAAGACAATCAGTGAAGAAAAAAACTCCTCCTACAAGCTTTAACCAGTGCTCTGTTGGACACTGATAGAAGTCAAAAGACTGCTCTATACTGCTGATGAGAAAAGGTATTTAGCAGTTTATATTTACTAAAATAATTGCATTTCCATGTTGTGTGTACTGTGGGAGACCAGATATAGTGAATGCAGGGCCCGGGGAGACAAGATATAGTGAATGCAGGGTCCAGGGAGAACAGATATAGTGAATGAGGGGTCCAGGGAGAGCAGATATAGTGAATGCAGGGTCCAGGGAGAGCAGATATAGTGAATGTGGGGTCCGGGGAAAGCGGATATAGTGGATGCAGGGTCCAGGGAGAACAGATATAGTGAATGAGGGGTCCAGGAAGACCAGATATAGTGAATGCAGGGTCCAGGGAGAGCGGATATAGTAAATGCAAGGTCCGGGGAGAGCGGATATAGTGAATGCAAGGTCCGGGGAAAGCGGATATGGTGAATGCAGGGTCCGGGGAGAGCGGATATAGTGAATGCAAGGTCCGGGGAGAGCGGATATAGTGAGTGCAGGGTCCGGGGGAGACCGGATATAGTGAATGCAGGGTCCGGGGAGCCGAAATATAGTGAATGCAGGGTCCGGGGAGACCAGATATAGTGAATGCATGGTCCAAGGAGACCAGATATAGTGAATTCAGGATCCAGGGAAAGTGGATATAGTGAATGCAGGGTCCAGGGAGACCAGATATAGTGAATACAGGGTCCGGGAGAGCAGATCAAGTGGATGCAGGGTCCGGGGAGACCGGAAATAGTGATTGAGGGGTCCAGGGAGAGCAGATATAGTGAATGCGGGGTCCAGGGAGACCAGATATAGTGAATGCGGGGTCCGGGGAGAGCAGATATAGTGAATGCGGGGTCCGGGGAGAGCAGATATAGTGAATGCGGGGTCCGGGGAGAGCAGATATAGTGAATGCGGGGTCCGGGGAGACCAGATATAGTGAATGCAGGGTCCGGGGAGACTAGATATAGTGAATGCAGGGTCCAGGGAGACCAGATATAGTGAATGCAGGGTCCGGGGAGACCAGATATAGTGAATGCAGGGTCCGGGGAGACCAGATATAGTGAATGCAGGGTCCAGGGAGACCAGATATAGTGAATGCGGGGTCCGGGGAGAGCGGATATAGTGAATGCGGGGTCTGGGGAGAGCGGATATAGTGAATGCGGGGTCTGGGGAGAGCGGATACAGTGAATGCAGGGTGCAGGCTTTAGGAACAATTTAAATTGCTTCTGCAAACAGGTGTAAGGTATTCCCTGACAATTTTCTCCGTACAGCCCAAAGGGCCTCTTCTCGTCTTATTCTTCAACACATTTATGTAATGTCAGTATTTTTACATGTGCAGCTTTCATAAAATAATCCCAAAAGAATAAAAAAAAAAGTGAAAACAGTATTGTATTTTTTTAAAATGCTAATTGTTTATGATACAAAGTGCTTAAGCAGACAAAATATATTTCGGCTATGGCTTATATCATCTTATACGTACTTTAAAACTCTGTCAGTTCGTCTGTCTTGTTGGGATGACTTCTTGTAACTTCCTGTCCTTGTGACCCAGCAGGAAGTAGGAGGATACTTTTCCAAAGTGAGGGAATTCCCCACTTAGACAGCAGCCACCAGAATAAGTGTCAACATAGGATTTCCCCCCACCTCACATTCTGGTGATAACCAAAAAATGTGGAATTTCCCATAACATTCTGTCCTGGTGACTATGGTGACCAAAAAAATTGAGAGTGTGGATCTCATCAGGGGGACACAGATAGCAGTAAAACAGTTATTCCCATATTATACCTCCATATATTTAAAAATTACATTAATGTTGAATTTTACACTTTTGGCATTCAACTTTACCACGACTGAGATGATGTCATCAGTCTGCTGCAGGCAGGAGTTAGCATTTCCTCATTCTTTTCTCCCCACCAATTACATTGTTCCTTTGTAGTCACAAGATGAAAGGCTGCAGCAGGGGCTGACCTGCATCAGACATTTGTAAACACAGTCAAGAATTGCACAGGCAGCAGGATTTGAGTATGCCAAGCCAGCATCACAGTCCATGAAGTAGATGGTGATTCCCGAACAAAGATTGTTCCCTCCTTCTAGAGAGAAAAGCAGATTAAGACTAGAGATGAGCGAATTTCTCAAAAATTTGATTCGGCTGATTCGGCGAATTCCAGTGTGAAATTCGATTCGATGCGAATTTCTTCGCTATGAAGATGACTTATAAAAAGGGTTTCTAGGCTTCAGAGAGCCTTTAAATTAGTGCAGAACACTGTACCTTTAATTTAAATGCCCTTGGAGATGAGGAAGGAGAAGGAGAAGGAGAAGGAGAAGGATGAGAAGAAGGAGAAGGAGAAGGATGAGAAGAAGGAGAAGGAGAAGGATGAGAAGAAGGAGAAGGAGAAGGATGAGAAGAAGGAGAAGGATGAGAAGAAGGAGAAGGAGAAGGATGAGAAGAAGGAGAAGGAGAAGGATGAGAAGAAGGAGAAGGATGAGAAGAAGGAGAAGGATGAGAAGAAGGAGAAGGAGAAGGATGAGAAGAAGGAGAAGGAGAAGGATGAGAAGAAGGAGAAGGAGAAGGATGAGAAGAAGGAGAAGGAGAAGGATGAGAAGAAGGAGAAGGAGAAGGATGAGAAGAAGGAGAAGGATGAGAAGAAGGAGAAGGATGAGAAGAAGGATAAGGATGAGAAGAAGGAGAAGGATGAGAAGAAGGAGAAGGATGAGAAGAAGGAGAAGAGAAGGATAAGAAGAAGGAGAAGGATGAGAAGAAGGAGAAGGATGAGAAGAAGGAGAAGGATGAGAAGAAGGAGAAGGAGAAGGATGAGAAGAAGGAGAAGGAGAAGGATGAGAAGAAGGAGAAGGATGAGAAGAAGGAGAAGGATGAGAAGAAGGAGAAGGATGAGAAGAAGGAGAAGGAGAAGGATGAGAAGAAGGAGAAGGATGAGAAGAAGGAGCAGGATGAGAAGAAGGAGAAGGATGAGAAGAAGGAGAAGGAGAAGGATGAGAAGAAGGAGAAGGAGAAGGATGAGAAGAAGGAGAAGGAGAAGGATGAGAAGAAGGAGAAGGAGAAGGATGAGAAGAAGGAGAAGGAGAAGGATGAGGAGAAGGAGAAGGATGAGAAGAAGGAGAAGGAGAAGGATGAGAAGAAGGAGAAGGATGAGAAGAAGGAGAAGGAGAAGGATGAGAAGAAGGAGAAGGAGAAGGATGAGAAGAAGGAGAAGGAGAAGGATGAGAAGATGGAGAAGGATGAGAAGAAGGAGAAGGATGAGAAGAAGGAGAAGGAGAAGGATGAGGAGAAGGAGAAGGATGAGAAGAAGGAGAAGGATGAGAAGAAGGAGAAGGAGAAGGATGAGAAGAAGGAGAAGGATGAGAAGAAGGAGAAGGATGAGAAGAAGGAGAAGGAGAAGGATGAGAAGAAGGAGAAGGATGAGAAGAAGGAGAAGGAGAAGGATGAGAAGAAGGAGAAGGATGAGAAGAAGGAGAAGGATGAGAAGAAGGAGAAGGAGAAGGATGAGAAGAAGGAGAAGGAGAAGGATGAGAAGAAGGAGAAGGATGAGAAGAAGGAGAAGGAGAAGGATGAGAAGAAGGAGAAGGAGAAGGATGAGAAGAAGGAGAAGGAGAAGGATGAGAAGAAGGAGAAGGATGAGAAGAAGGAGAAGGATGAGAAGATGGAGAAGGAGAAGGATGAGAAGATGGAGAAGGAGAAGGATGAGAAGAAGGAGAAGGAGAAGGATGAGAAGAAGGAGAAGGATGAGAAGAAGGAGAAGGAGAAGGATGAGAAGAAGGAGAAGGAGAAGGATGAGAAGAAGGAGAAGGAGAAGGATGAGAAGAAGGATGAGAAGAAGGAGAAGGATGAGAAGAAGGAGAAGGATGAGAAGAAGGAGAAGGAGAAGGATGAGAAGAAGGAGAAGGATGAGAAGAAGGAGAAGGATGAGAAGAAGGAGAAGGATGAGAAGAAGGAGAAGGAGAAGGATGAGAAGAAGGAGAAGGAGAAGGATGAGAAGAAGGAGAAGGATGAGAAGATGGAGAAGGAGAAGGATGAGAAGAAGGAGAAGGAGAAGGATGAGAAGAAGGAGAAGGAGAAGGATGAGAAGAAGGAGAAGGAGAAGGATGAGAAGAAGGAGAAGGAGAAGGATGAGAAGAAGGAGAAGGATGAGAAGAAGGAGAAGGAGAAGGATGAGGAGAAGGAGAAGGATGAGAAGAAGGAGAAGGAGAAGGATGAGAAGAAGGAGAAGGATGAGAAGAAGGAGAAGGATGAGAAGAAGGAGAAGGAGAAGGATGAGAAGAAGGAGAAGGAGAAGGATGAGAAGATGGAGAAGGAGAAGGATGAGAAGAAGGAGAAGGAGAAGGATGAGAAGAAGGAGAAGGAGAAGGATGAGAAGAAGGAGAAGGAGAAGGATGAGGAGAAGGAGAAGGAAGAGAGAAGAAGGAGAAGGATGAGAAGAAGGAGAAGGAGAAGGATGAGAAGAAGGAGAAGGATGAGAAGAAGGAGAAGGATGAGAAGAAGGAGAAGGAGAAGGATGAGAAGAAGGAGAAGGATGAGAAGAAGGAGAAGGAGAAGGATGAGAAGAAGGAGAAGGAGAAGGATGAGAAGAAGGAGAAGGATGAGAAGATGGAGAAGGATGAGAAGATGGAGAAGGAGAAGGATGAGAAGAAGGAGAAGGAGAAGGATGAGAAGAAGGAGAAGGAGAAGGATGAGAAGAAGGAGAAGGAGAAGGATGAGAAGAAGGAGAAGGATGAGAAGAAGGAGAAGGATGAGGAGAAGGAGAAGGATGAGAAGAAGGAGAAGGAGAAGGATGAGAAGAAGGAGAAGGATGAGAAGAAGGAGAAGGAGAAGGATGAGAAGAAGGAGAAGGATGAGAAGAAGGAGAAGGATGAGAAGAAGGAGAAGGGAGAAGGATGAGAAGAAGGAGAAGGAGAAGGATGAGAAGATGGAGAAGGAGAAGGATGAGAAGAAGGAGAAGGAGAAGGATGAGAAGAAGGAGAAGGAGAAGGATGAGAAGAAGGAGAAGGATGAGAAGAAGGAGAAGGATGAGAAGAAGGAGAAGGAGAAGGAGAAGCAGAAGGAGAAGGATGAGAAGAAGGAAAAGGAGAAGGATGAGAAGAAGGAGAAGGGAGAAGGATGAGAAGAAGGAGAAGGATGAGAAGAAGGAGAAGGATGAGAAGAAGGAGAAGGAGAAGGAGAAGCAGAAGGAGAAGGATGAGAAGAAGGAAAAGGAGAAGGATGAGAAGATGGAGGAAGGAGAAGGATGAGAAGAAGGAGAAGGAGAAGGATGAGAAGAAGGAGAAGGAGAAGGATGAGAAGAAGGAGAAGGATGAGAAGAAGGAGAAGGATGAGAAGAAGGATGAGAAGAAGGATGAGAAGAAGGAGAAGGATGAGAAGAAGGACAGTTCTGTGACAGTTTCTGTCTATTTCTGACAGTTCTGGGACATTCACTCCATACAGCGGTTTCAACCCGCTGTATGGAGGGAATGTCATAGAACTGTCAGAAATAGACTATTTATGACAGTTCTGGGACATTCCTTCCATACAGCGGTTGAAAACATTGTATCTATTTGTTTCATAAATGGATCCATTTATGGAAACAATATAGATACAATGTTTCAACCGCTGTATGGAAGGACAGTCCCAGAACTGTCATTAATAGTCTATTTCTGACAGTTCTATGACATTCCCTCCATACAGCGGTTTGAAACCGCTGTATGGAGTGATTGTCCCAGAACTGTCAGAAATAGACTATTTATGACAGTTCTGGGACATTCACTCCATACAGCTGTTTCAACCGCTGTATGGAGGGAATGTCATAGAACTGTCAGAATAGACTATTAATGACAGTTCTGGGACTGTCCTTCCATACAGCGGTTGAAACATTGTATCTATTTGTTTCCATAAATGACATTCTGCAAATACACTTAGAGGAGCGCTGCAGATACACTTTTTGCTGGCTTGGAATTAATCTTATTTTCATCCTACTTCTTCTTCTTCATCCTCATCCTCATAAGAAGAAAAAGAAGAAGTAGGATGAAAATAAGAATAATTCCAAGCCGGCAAAAAGTGTATCTGCAGCGCTCCTCTAAGTGTATTTGCAGAATGTCATTTATGGAAACAAATAGATACAATGTTTCAACCGCTGTATGGAAGGACAGTCCCAGAACTGTCATTAATAGTCTATTTCTGACAGTTCTGGGACATTCCCTCCATACAGCGGTTTCCGGCAAAAAGTGTATGATGTGCAGAGTTCCTCTCTTCTGCAGATACACTTAGAGGAGCTCTGCAGATACACTTAGAGGAGCTCTGCACATACACTTTTTGCCGGCTTGGAATTATTCTTCTTTTCATCCTACTTCTTCTTCTTCTTCTTCATCCTCATCCTCATCCTCAGAAGAAGAGGGATGAGGATGAGGATGAAGAAGAAGAAGAAGAAGAAGAAGAAGAAGTAGGATGAAAAGAAGAATAATTCCAAGCCGGCAAAAGTGTATGTGCAGAGTTCTTCTATTTCTGACAGTTCTCTCACAGCTTCTTCACATGTACAGCGGTTGAAACATCTGTATCCTAAATGTAAATTAATAGATACAATGTTTCAACCGCTAAACATGTGTTCCTTCTGTCAGAGAACTGTCAGAAATAGCGGAGCTCACTGCAGGGACACTTTTGCGGCTGATCGGGAAATGTTCGATTCGCGCACCCGAAGTAGGCAAAATTTCGGATTTGACGCGAATCGAATATTTCCTGAAATTCGACTCGAATTCCGGTTCGCCTGGTTCGATTCGCTCATCTCTAATTAAGACATTGTCAGGGGCTGCACTGTGAGAGGTCATATGTATCTGGAAGTGTTATATTTTACAGATTACTCAGCATGCATCCAACATGAAAAATATACCCAATCCTTAATCCACTTTAGCAAACATTACTTAATTGCCGTATTTTTCATAACATTTTCATAACTGGAATTGGTTTAATTCATGTCCCGTTCTTTTAGTTCAACACTTTTTAGCTCTTCAATTATCCTGTTGAAGGAAATGGAGCTACTTGCCATGTGGTAATATCAGCCAAGAGCTGTAAAGGCTCCTCTAAAAGGAACTTTCTATGGAAAACCGTGGTGTTTCTGTTGTTGGGTATGAAATTTCCATATGTTAATACTGGCTGGGAGCTGGGAAGGTTCCTCTAAGAGGATCCATTCATGGAAAACTGTGGTGGTTTTTTTTAGGTTTTGTGTAGGGTAGTGCCGCTTGTTAATAGTAACAAGTAGCTGTGGTTTGTGGGGATAGTTGGTGTAGTTCTTATGGAAAACTGGTGGGGGGGAGCGTGGCTGGCCGGGGTTTTTTTTTGTAGGGGTTTGTGGGGGGGTTTTTTGTTGTTGGTTTTTTTGTGGTTGTTGGTGGTTTTGGTTTTTTATTTTGGGGGTTTTGTTTTTGGTTTTTTTTGGTTTGTGGGGGTTTTTTTTTTGGTTTTGGATTTTTTGGTTTGGTTTTGTTGGGTGTGGTGTGGGTTTTTGTTTGGTTTTTTGGTGTGTTTTGGGGGTGTGGTTGGTTTTTGTTTTGGGGTTTTTTTGTTGGTTTTGTGTGGGGGGGGTTGTTTTTGGGATATTGGTTTTTGGGGGTTGTTGGGTTGTATTGTTTTTTTGGTTGTTGGTTGGGGTTTTGGGGTTGGGGGGGGGGGTTGGTGTGTTTTTTTTTTTTTTTTTTTTTTTGGGTTTTGTTTGTGGTGTTTTTTTTGGTTTGTGTGTTGGGGTTGTGGGGGGTTTTGGGGTTGGGTATGATATTTGGGGTCATGTTAATTAATGTCTGGCCAGGAGCTGAGAAATCTGCTCTAAAAGGAACCATTGATGGGAAAACTATGGTGGGGGGATTGATGGGGTGTTGGTTGGTGGTTTTTTGTTGGGTATGAGATTGCCATATGATAATATTACCTAGGAGCTGAGAAGGTTCCTCTAAGAGGAACCATTAATAAAAAATTGTGGTGGTTTTGTTGCTGGGTATGATTATGCTATAGGTTAATGTTGGCTAGGAGCTGAGAAAGTTCCTCCAAGAGGAACCATTAATAGCAAACTGTGGTTTTTTTTTTTTGGTTGTGTATTATATTGCCACTAGTTAGCTGAGAAGCTTCAGGAGGAATCAATAATGGAAAACTGTGGTGGTTTTTTTTGTTGTGTCGATATTTTCGCTAGTCAACATTGACAAGGTGATGAGAGGGTTCAGGAGGAACCATTGATGATAAATTGTTGTGGTTTTGTTGTTGGTTATATTGCCCCATGTTAATATTTGGACAGGAGCTGAGAAGGCTCCTCTATAAGGAACCATTGATGGAAAACTGTAGTGGTTTTTGTTGTTGGCTATGATATCGCCATATGTTAATGTTGGCAAGGAGCTGAGAAGGATACTAAAGGGAGAAACCATTAATGGAAAACTGTGGTGATTTTGTTGTTGAGTATGATATTGCCATATGTTAATGTTGGCTAGGAGCTGAGAAAGTTCCTCTAAGAGGAACCATTAATAGAACACTGTGGTGTTTTTTTGGTTGCGTATGATATTGCCACTATTATACAGGAGCTGAGAAGGTTCAGGTGGAAAACTGTAATGGTTTTGTTTAGGGATATGATATTGCCCCATGTTAATGTTTGGACAGGAGCTGAGAAGGTTCCTTTAAGAGAAATCATTAATATTAAATGGTGGGGTTTTTTCATTGTGTATCCCACTTGTTGATATTGCCTATGAGCTGAGAAGGTTCCTCTAAAACAGTGGTTCTCAACCTATGGGTCGCGACCCCTTTGGGGGTCGAACAACCCTTTCACAGGGGTCGCCTAAGACCATTGGAAAACACATATTTCTGATGTGTAAACAGCAGCTACTGTGTAGAAAGCAGCTGCTGTGTTGAAAGCAGCTACTCTGTTAAAAGCAGCTACTGTGTTGAAAGCAGCAGTATTGGAGGTAAAACGACACTTCATGAATTATAATTACTGGATAAATAATTTTATGGTTGGGGGTCACCACGACATGAGGAACTGTATTAAAGGGTTAGAAAGGTTGAGTACCACTGCTCTAAAAGGAAATATTATTGGAAAAAGATGGTGGCTTCATTATTGGGTATATTATTGCCCTTTACTTTTAAGGGTCAAAGCACAGTAACTCCTGATAAAGCCCTTTGCTTTGTTTTTTGCTTATGTTGCAGGGTAAACAGATTGCAGATCTCTGCAAACAGCAGGGCCTACAGCATGTGATCTACAGTGGTCTGGAGAATGTCCACAAACTGACTGGGGGCAAGCTAGAGGTTCTTCACTTTGACAGCAAAGGAAAAGTAGAAGAATATTTCAGACAAATCAAAGTACCCATGACCAGTGTAAGGCTCGCCTTCTACTTTGAGAACTTCTATACACTCTGCAGGCCACAGAAATGCCAAGATGGGAAGACGTATCAGCTGGGTAAGGATTCAAGGGGGATATTTTTCACATACAGCCGAAATTACATAATGAATGTAATATTCCAGATAATCTTTATAAAAAAAAAAATGCACCTTTAAACAAAAATGATTGTGGAGTATTTAGGATGTCTGGAAGGTCTTGGGACCCTCGCCAAGGGAACAAGGTTTAGAATTTTGTCTATTTTTGAATGACTTGACTGGTTGATTCATAAAATATTCCAGCTTTAAGATGTTTCCACATTTATTGAGGAGGAAAAGTCCATAAATCTAGGAGTCAAGCATGGTGATAGCACCCTTCCCCGGTCTCCTATGGAACCTAAGGCAAATGTTGAATTTGGGACCAAAGTTCCTACCAGATACAGACCTAAGATCACAGTCTGACTACTGGACATGGCCTTCTGTGGTTGCAGGCTACCATTAAGCTGGCCTTGGCTTGCCATTTAACTTTTGAAAATCCCGTTTTATATGTCTGAGAAGCAGGTACCATCTTATATTTCTCTTCAACTTTCTGCCCTCTTAGGCTAAGAGCCTTGTATTGGCCACCACACCAACACCCCCTAGTATTCACCATTTTAGGCACCCTTCCCATTCTGATTTTGTAAAGCATATTCAAAACTATTACTATTACAACTTAGCATTGGGTAGAGTGGGGATGGGTTAGAATAGCTATTTTCAACCATGGTTCATTGAAACCCTAGGGTTCCTCCAGAGGTTGCTAGGGGTTCCTTGAGATGTGGCTGGTTGATTTTCCATGTGATGGTGTCTGCACAGTTCTGCGGCCCAACATCACTTGGCAGAGTCAGTTGCCTGACACGGCTGTAAAGGGGACATTCTTTCCATTGGCCACCAATGAATTATTTTTAGCAGTGGTTCCACTAGACCTGAAAAGTATTTCAAGGGTTCCTCTGGGGTTAACAAAAAGTTGAACAAGGCTGTGGTAGAACATCTGTCAGGTTTTATGTGCTATAGTTAGAAACAACTCATTAATCAAGAATAGCTATTTTTATTGTATCCATCTTGGTTTCTAACAAGTTGCAACATTCATCTTTAGTTATTTATTAATACACAGAATAATGATCATCAAATGCATCTTGATATCATTGTGATTCATTGGAGATACATCCAGTAACTTGATTCACTTACACAGAAAACTGTTATAAGGGTTGTTCTGTATGAATTATCAATTTTGATATCATGGGGGTTGCTATATGAATTGCCAATCATATTTCATCACCTATTATCTTTCATATTTCAGTATCCAGTAGTTCATATTTTTAACATTTAGGACAGATTTCAATGTGTTATAAAATCGCTTTGTTGCTAACCATGCTTAATGGATGTATTAAGTAATATAACATCAATTTGATCAGATCTCTAGCTTTGAATATTGTTTCCCAACTATCTTGTCCATGCTATCCATTATCCATTTTTAATCAGATCTGCTTTCAATATGTAATCTACAGGTCTTTATTTTTTAACCAGTGGAGGGCTTGGACCCCTTCCCTTTGTCCTGGTAACTACTGATATTGGACCAGGTGAGGGAAAATCTTCCAATGGACACACCCATTTTGGTGACAGTTGTCTAGGAAGGCATTTCTCCTCACTTTGGAGAAATTTCCTCTCGCTTCCTGTTGTGTCTTTCTAGGACAGGAAGTGAGGGTAACACAGAAGATCCTGGAAACTAGAATGCAGAACATCCACATATACAAAATGCCCATTTTATGTAAATACAACAGTTTTGATCTGAGTGAACCATCAAGCTATTATAACTTTCTCATGGCTCTGTCCTGAATTATTTCTTCTTCAGTCATTCCTATGGGAGACATTCCGATGGATGGGATATCAGTCACGGACCTCGGTCCAGTTGTCTGCAGCATCCTGAAGAGTCCCTCAGAATACATTGGGAAGGATATCGGACTGAGTGCAGAAAAACTAACCATCAACCAATATGCAAAGATCACGTCCAAGGTGACTGGCAAGACCATCGTAGACTCTAAGGTGAGGCTGATCATAATCTCCGTGACTCTGGTGATGTTGCCATCATCTATAGAGTCTGGAACACCCACACATGTTCAGAGTGTGAAGTAGCTGCAGCCAGAACTTTTTTTTTGTTGTTTTTATATTTCTAACACCTGTTTCTATGTAAATTTTTATAATTACAAAATGTCTGTAATGGGCTTTACAGCAGAACTTCAATTTTGTTTCGAAAAGTCTAAAGTTATTGCAGAATACCTCTTCAATGGAATCATTTATTGCATCTGCTTTAAGGATGAGATTCGAGTTTCTGGCCATGCGGAGTTCAACTTGGACTTTTGTTAGTTCGCCAAGTGGCCAGTTCACTCACCCGCCAAACCTCCAACTGCTGCAGCTGGAAGTCATTCATTTAGCAGAGGTATCACTACTACCACCAAATGAATGACTTTCCTCTTCTTGGTTGCTAGGATGCTAGTGACTGACTTTATCAAAGAATCCAAGGATATAATGTGGGCTGGACCCATACATCCTAGCAACCAATGACATTATTGGTTGCTAGGGTTCTGGCAGGTGCTCAGCCATTGGTTGTTATAGCACAGGATTGGTGTTTTTACCACGTTGCCCTCAAAGTTGCATAAACTGAAGTGATCTCTCCCAAATGAATGGCATTTCTTAACTTTTTTTTTGCAAAAATGACATGTGTTATTGGCAGTGTCATGGCAGTGCCAAGCCACCTCTTTAATTTTCTTACCCAGTGCTTGCAATTTGGCTTTAAAAAGGGCCATAAAATATTACAAGATTCCCATCCCATAGACTTCAGTGGGGTTTGCAAATTTTTGTCAATTGTTTGGCGAATGTCCAACGAGCCAAATAGGTCATCACTAGTCCTCTTTTATGTTTCTTTGCATATATACAGCGATCGTTTTACAGTGGTTCCCGTCTAGTATTTATATAGATTTATTTTATATTGTAAAGAAGAGTCTTTGTTGCGAGTTGATATTTCATAAATGGCATTCTGCTTTAAAGAGTCTTCCTCCTAATCTCTGATTGCTGTGTATACAGATTACTCCTGAGGCATACGAAAAACTGAGCTTCCCAGGAGCACAGGAGATGGCCAGTATGTTCTTATTCTACCACATGAGACCGGACCGCAACGTGGAGCTGACCCGCAAACTCAACCCCGCTGTTAAAACCTTCAAGCAGTTTATGGAAGCAAATAAGGAAGCTTTTAAGGACTTGTAATGCTGTCTTACCTACAGTTGTGACCAAAATTATTCAACCCCACTGAAATTGAGTGTTTTGGCCAGTTTGACATTGCTTTTGATCATTCAGTCATCTTGCTTACATTTACATTAAAGAGGCACTTGTAGGTCAGACAAATATAACATAACAGTTATAATGAAATAACCACAAATGTCTTTTCTGTGCTCACAGCATTATCAGTTTTATTCAACCCCCAAGTGACATTCAATCTTAGTACTTAGTACAGCATCCTTTTACAGTTATAACAGCTTTTAAACGTGAAGCATAGCTTGACACAAGTGTCTTGCAGCGATCTACGGGTATCTTCGCCCATTCTTCATGGGCAAAGGCCTCCAGTTCAGTCACATTCTTAGGCTTGCGCACTGCAACTGCTTTCTTTAAGTCCCACCAGAGGTTCTCAATCGGATTTAAGTCTGGTGACTGCGATGGCCACTCCAAAATGTTCCAGCCTTTCCTCTGCAACCATGCTCTAGTGGACTTGGAGGTATGCTTGGGATCATTGTCCTTGTCCTGTTGAAAGGTCCAACGTCTCCCAAGCCTCAGGTGTGTGACGGACTGCATCACGTTTCCATCCAATATCTCCTGGTACTGAAGAGAATTCATGGTACCTTGCACACGCTGAAGCTTCCCTGTACCTGCAGAAGCAAAACAGCCCCAAAGCATGATTGACCCTCCACCATGCTTCACAGTAGGCAAGGTGTTCTTTTCATCATAGGCCTTGTTCTTCCTCCTCCAAACATAGCGTTGATCCATGGGCCCAAACAGTTCTAATTTTGTTTCATCAGTCCACAGAACACTATCCCACAACTTTTGTGGTTTGTCCACATGGCTTTTGGCATACTGCAGTCGACTCTTCTTATTCTTTGGAGACAGCAAGGGGGTACGCCTGGGAGTTCTGGCACGGAGGCCTTCATTACGCAGTGTGCGTCTTATTGTCTGGGCTGAAACTTCTGTACCCACATCTGACAAATCTTTTCTCAGTTCCTCAGCAGTCACACGGGGACTTCTCTCCACTCTACGCTTCAGGTAGCGCACAGCAGTCGAAGTCAGCATCTTCTTTCTGCCACGACCAGGTAGCGTTTCAACAGTGCCCTTTGCCTTGAATTTGCGAATGATGCTTCCTAAGGTGTCTCTTGGTATGTTTAACATCTTTGCAATCTTCTTATAGCCATTGCCCTTCCTGTGAAGAGAAATCACCTCTTCTCTTGTCTTCCTGGACCATTCTCTTGCTTTCACCATGTTTGTAACCACACCAGTAAATGTCTAGAAGGAGCTGAGTATCACAGTCATTTTAAAGCTGCCTAATTGGTGCTTATTATGCTTGATTGCTGCTCGGTGACATCCACAGGTGTTTTCAATACCTGATGGAAAGCACCTGTATGAACCTCTGTTCTTCAGAGTGGTAGTCTTTAAGGGGTTGAATAATTGTGGCAATGAAGAAACCACATAAGAACCATTTACTACTGTATTACATAAACAATTGATGTCATTTTAGTTGCATTTGGGTAGTTACAACGTCCTTGTAGGATTTGATTCTGAATACAATTCCAAATGTACACTATAGTCCCTAAACCCCTTTACAGCATTGGGGGTTGAATAATTTTGGTCACAACTGTACTCTATATCAGCATGTAAACCTACCTACTTTACAAGGAGAAAGTTGACTGTTTTCCAAATAAATCACCCAAAATGTGTTGTTTATATAGTCTGTTATAATTGTTTATACTGTATAGTCCAGCCAGAATTTTTTTACCTGTCCTCCTGTTACCTGAAGTAATTTCTAGATCCGGGGAACCCTTGCACAAACCAATTTATTGGCAATCAGTGCATTGGTTGTCAGTGGAAAGAATGCTCCTTACATTGGTGGTCAGTGGGAAGAATGCTCCTCACATTGGGGGTCAGTGGGAAGAATGTCCCTTACATTGGTGGTCAGTGGGAAGAATGTCCCTTACATTGGTGGTCAGTGGGAAGAATGCTCCTCACATTGGGGGTCAGTGGGAAGAATGTCCCTTACATTGGTGGTCAGTGGGAAGAATGTCCCTTACATTGGTGGTCAGTGGGAAGAATGCTCCTCACATTGGGGGGTCAGTGGGAAGAATGTCCCTTACATTGGTGGTCAGTGGGAAGAATGTCCCTTACATTGGTGGTCAGTGGGAAGAATGCCCCTTACATTGGTGATCAGTGGGAAGAATGCTCCTCACATTGGGGGTCAGTGGGAAGAATGTCCCTTACATTGGTGGTCAGTGGGAAGAATGTCCCTTACATTGGTGGTCAGTGGGAAGAATGCCCCTTACATTGGTGGTCAGTGGGAAGAATGTCCCTTACATTGGTGGTCAGTGGGAAGAATGCTCCTCACATTGGGGGTCAGTGGGAAGAATGTCCCTTACATTGGTGGTCAGTGGGAAGAATGCCCCTTACATTGGTGGTCAGTTGGAAGAATGCCCCCTACATTGGTGATCAGTGGGAAGAATGGCACTTACATTGGTGGTCAGTGGGAAGAATGCTCCTTACATTGGTGGTCAGTGGGAAGAATGCCCCTTACATTGGTGGTCAGTGGGAAGAATGTCCCTTACATTGGTGGTCAGTGGGAAGAATGTCCCTTACATTGGTGGTCAGTGGGAAGAATGTCCCTTACATTGGTAATCAGTGGGAAGAATGCTCCTTACATTGGGGGTCAGTGGGAAGAATGACCCTACATTGGTGGTCAGTGGGAGGAATGCTCCTTACATTAGTGGTCAGTGGGAAGAATGTCCCTTACATTGGTGGTCAGTGGGAAGGATGTCCCTTACATTGGAGGTCAGTGGGAAGAATGTCCCTTACATTGGAGGTCAGTGGGAAGAATGTCCCTTACATTGGAGGTCAGTGGGAAGAATGATACTCACTTTGGTGGTCATTTGGAAGAATGGTCTGAATGGTCTTTAAATTGGTGGTCAGTGGGAATAATACTCCTTATAATAGTGGTCAGGGAGAAAAATGCACCCCTTACAGTGATGGTCAGAATGCCATCCTTACACACTGCTAAAAAGATCATTGGGTTCATGCAGCTGACTCTACCAAGTGACATCAGAACCAGGGGCGCATTGACAACTCATGGGGCCCCCGGGCAATAGGGGATCATGGGGCCCCTGTGTCCTTGCCCAAACTCAAAAAAGCCTATGAAAAAGGTACCAGGGGCATCTCATGGGGCCCCCTACTGACCCCGGGCCCTCGGGCAGTGCCCAAGTTTCCAAATGGTCAGGGGGGGGACTCTGAAGTGATGGGGGGACTCATGTATAGGTGGCCTCTGAAGTATAGGGGTGACCCTGATGTGATGGGGACTTGTGAGGGGCTCTGATGTGATGGGGGCACCTCTGATGTGATGGGGGGGTTCTGTCAAGGGGGAAATCTGATGTAAAGGGGGATTCTGATGTGAAGAAGGACCTCAGATGTGAAAGGGGCAATCTGATATAAAGAAGGAACCTCTGATGTAAAGGGGGGACTGTGATGTAAAGGGGGGGCTCCAATGTTGGGCACTTTGATGTGACGGAGGGACATTGATGCAAAGGGGACCTATGATGTAAAGGGGAACATAAAAGGGGGACTCTGATGTAAGAGGGGGAGGCTCTACTGTAAAGCTGAGTCGCTGTAAAAGGGGGATTCTGATGTAAAGGGGGGTTCTGCTGTGAAGAGGGACATCTGATGTGAGAGAGCCTCTGATGTGAAGGAGGGATTCTGATGTAAAAGGGGGCTCTGATATGAAGAGGGACATCTGATGTGAGAGAGCCTCTGATGTGAAGGGGGGACTCTGATGTGAAGGGGGGGATTCTATGTAATGGGGGCTCTGATGTGATAGAGAGCCTCTGATGTGAAGGGGGCTCTGATGTGATGGTAGGCTTCTGATGTGAAGGGGTGATTCTATGTAAAGGGGGACCCTGATGTGAAGGGGGGGGGACTCTGATGTGAAGGGTGGGACTCTGATGTGAAGGGGGGGACTCTGATGTGAAGGGAGGCTTCTGATGTGAAGGGGGGGATTCTATGTAATGGGGGACCCTGATGTGAAGGGGGTGACTCTGATGTGTAGGGGGGACTCTGATGTGAAGGGTGGGACTCTGATGTGAAGGGGGGGACTCTGATGTGAAGGGAAGCTTCTGATGTGAAGAGAGGATTCTATGTAAAGGGGGCCTCTGATCTGAAGGTGGGACTCTGATGTGAAGGGGGCTCTGATGTGAAGGGGGGGACTCTGATGTGAAGGGTGGGACTCTGATGTGAACGGGGGGGACTCTGATGTGAAGGGAGGCTTCTGATGTGAAGGGGGGATTCTATGTAAAGGGGGCCTCTGATTTGAAGGGGGGACTCTGATGTGAAGGGGGGCCTCTGACGTGAAGAGGGACATCTGATGTGAAGGGGGGCCTCTGACGTGAAGAGGGACATCTGATGTGAAGGGGGGCCTCTGTAGTGAAGATAATTTCAGCAAGGCGGCTGTGTGCGTTGTCCCGGGCTCAGGTGTTCCCTGGACAAGTAACATTCAGGGCTCTGATGTGAAGGGGGATTCTGATGTGAAGGTAGGATTCTGATGTGAAGGGGGATTCTGATGTGAAGGCGGCTCTGATCATAGACTGGGTTGCCACAAGATTTATCATACTTTTAAAGGGTGACACGGCTGAAAAACGTTTGAGATAGTCAGCTGTAGAAGAATGATTCTGATTGGTTGCTGGGAGTTGCAGTTCTTGCTCCTTGCAGCCAAGTCAGTATCTGGTTGCTGGTCTTTTCTCATAGGCTGTTGTCTCCACCTAATGGTGAACAGTGAGATTGCAACCTTGTAATTCCAGTCCTGACCAGGGTGGCAGTATTGGCCTGTGTTGAAGGGTTTGGTCCTTGTGTGTGTGGATGGGATAATCCAGCATGGCTTTGAAATTAATTTGAGATGTTTCTAAAGTGGTTCAGAATTCATTGACAGAGTCATTAACATGCAGTTGATCTCATTCAGTCCTGCTTGAGTC